ATGCAATTTCAAAATTACAATTGATGATATCAAAAAATGTAATCATATGTTCAATTATTTCTGAACTTTCATTGAATCCTTAATTCCATAGAACCGAATCACGTAGCATACGAAAATTATTTTTTCATGAGAAAACTGGCTACCTAATCAATATTGCAACTCGCCGGAACTTTAATATAGTTTCAACACTTTTCAAGTTAACTATCTGACTTCGAGAAAAGTTTTCAATGAATATTGGATATACCTAAAACTGAAACACTCTTGAAATAAAGTAGTAATATTTTGCCACATAATCCCCTATATCAGACATATACTCAATGAAATCTTTAACATTGCTTGCAGGTATATTTAGTGTAACCTTCCTCTTGAAGATGATCACTTGGTAATCGAAACACGTATCGAAGTGTTGAAATAACGGTTTGTTGTTAGGTTAAAACTCCAGTGATATTGAATAATAGAGGTTTGGGAAACCTCTCTATATATTTCATGTATCTGGTGCTCCATTTATTCAAATAATTATGTATCAACGATTTTTTCAATTTGACAAATTGCTTTCATTCGTACAGTTATCAATGCAGCAACAAAAAATAATTCAATTGATTCCCATCAAACTACGAAAATTTTCAAAAATATACGATACACGATATTGTGTTCCATTACTAATAGAGAGTTTCTGCGATGAACTTCAAACAGATATCCAATACAGCCAATGAAGAAGATGTGGCTAAAAATTTTTAAATATACTGTTTCATCTAATTCTCCTCTGAAACGGGCTTTGCTATGATGCTACCTATTCTCTATCTTTACGCGATACCTATACATTGCCTCGAATTTGAATAGTCCTTTATATCCCTGTTACTCTCCCAACAGAAAATATCGAGGCATCAGCAGCTGCAGTGTGTAAACTTTTCATAGCGGAAAACACTATTTTATATGTGGCGCAGATAGAGATAATTGTTGAAGAGAGATGATATAAATTGCTTCTAACTGTGGAAAAAGAATTTTTGCAGCACTCACATAATTTATTTGCGATTTTCAGTTACGATTATCGTTTCACATTCAAAACAAACGGCGGAGGAATAGGTAGGAAATAAGTATCCTTGTTTATTTGAATAGAACTGGCCGATACTTGATGAAAATCCATATTGAAAAACTAATCAATATAATTCATTGTATGATTTTCACTATAAAACAATGAAACTGTGGTCTTGTCCAATTCAGCTCCTCATCACCCTCAAATTCATAGGAGTATATTGAGATCGACAAACATCCCAACAATTCCATGAGTCAACAGAATATAATATTCAGTACTCACGAAGGCCATAAATGGACTAGAATATAACTCTGATCGAATTCACACCAGCAGCATACCTGTCAACAACGTGGACCAATCAGATCCATCTAGTTCAAATCCAGATCAATCAAAACAACCTAACAGCCGGAATTTTGTTCCATCTGACTCATCAAAGGTCATTATCATTCATTTATATTTGATGTGAAACTATGAGAGAAGAATAAATAAAAAATAAATAAAAAACCGGTTTTATTGAAAGAAACAATATAAAAATAATGTACACAATGCACGAAAAGCTGAAGTATAATTCGTAAGACCCTAGGTAGCAGTCATCACACGACTCTCCTCAGAAGCCTACGATATTGATGATTTAACCCAGATATGCCTGAATAATTATTTTTGGTTTTTTTCAACATTACTGCTTTGATGTTAACAATTTTCCTTCCTTAAGTCAAGAAAAACACATTTCGTTTATTTTTTAGTATTTACAATCTGTCTTTTAGGGTGTCCTTGAAAAAGGACAATTGGCATATAGGTAGTAGTGTTATATAAGAAACTTAAATACTAGTTCTAAAGTAACTGATTAGCAAACTAATTTTCAGACCTATGATAAATCACAAAACACTCCATATGCAAAGCCATGTCACATTTTTCACATCTTTTCTGAACTTTTTTGTGACATACACGACATCGAGTCTGTTTGGGTTGGGATACAAGAAAGTGATCTTGGTTATCTAATCTTGATTCAACGTTCTCCTATGCGAAAGGTCTTCCCCTTTTTTTCGCACATCGATTGGTTTCCAAGAGCGTCAAAGTAATTTGTCGTCTATTCGATAGATTGTCAAGTGAACCTCCTTGTAGTCTATGGAGTTGCCATGTGTTCTGTTCGCAAATGTCTAGACCATACGCAATTAGACAAAAATACCATTTTTTACCTATTACTGACGTTCTGTAGAGGCTTACATTCTGGTAGCAACGATCTACTCCTCCCATGAACTTATTATAAATATATAACGGGTGTGGCTGATCTACATTGATTCTTTTCTTATCTTTTTGGGAAAACCGTGATATTGGTGTAATGGCTCCACCGATAAAGTATTGGAAGCAACATTTACTGCATTGTTATCATGCCATTTGACAATAACTACTTTGTTCTGAGTAGATCTAAAATCATATTCTCCTCTCTTCTTTTTCTTTATTTCGTTTTTTGATAATATGATAATATTGGACATTTTGACATCCTATTTTCCTGGAAAGTTCCTGTAGCTCTTACAATGTCCTTTTGCAGTTGATCCAATAGTGGGACCGTTGTAAAAAAATTATCAAAAAATATATGGTAGGGAAAACTTCCAAGCATCTTGAGTATGTCGGCATATTCTAGAATAACGGATGGACCTAAACCAAACTATTTGTATCGTTCTTTTAGCTTTGTTTTGGCTCCTTGATAAGGATCAATCCACACACAGTAACCGCTACTTGTGGCACCCATCCAAACCTTGTAACCGTAGCGAATTGGTTTATTCTTGATGAATTGCCTACATCCATGTTTCCCAAAATAGGGAACCATGAATTGATCCACACTGTGAGTCTGAGAATAAGGCGCGAATCTTTGGAAATTTTTATTCAGTCTAGCAAAAAATGGCCTAACTTTGGCATACCCGTCATTTATATCCAAATTGTCATTATCGCAGCGATGAAGATTTGACATGATGAACCTATCTCTAGCTAATGCATTTGCTACTACTTCGTTCCTTGTATCGCCACTTTTTTTCCAAAACATACGCCTCCTTGGAAGAGGCACATATCCACTTAGCAGCAATACTCTAAAAAATGCTTTTATTTCTGAGTGTGTTATATTTCCGGGTTTATTTTTCTTTGCAGCATACATATTGCTATAGTTTACAAACATATTTATGATATCTTCATCAAACATTTGAAAAAATAGTTCCGTTGGAGAAAAATTTGCATTTGCCTTTTGCATTGGTTGCCACTCTATTGCAGATGGTTGCAGATCCTTTTTTTCCCATACATATTTTTTACTAGAAGATGTTTGTAAAAGGCTAAGCGGAATGTTGTCTTCTTCATCCCATAAGTCTGCATTTTCTTCATTTTCCTCGTTTTGAACCAATTCAGCTTCCTCTCTTAGTTGGGTACCAGGTAAGTTACTTACAGTCATAAATTCATCATCCCATGAGTGTTCATCTGTTAAATCAGTGCAACAGTTGGTAGGTGGCATAAGGGCAATTTGTATGTCATTTCTATTGGATGTATCGTCTTCCTCCAAGCTTTCTAGTAACTCGTGTAGCGTCTCATCTTTTTGGGAAAACCGTGATATTGGTGTAATGGCTCCACCGATAAAGTTTTGAAAGCAACATTTACTGCATTGTTATCATGCCATTTGACAATAACTACTTTGTTCTGAGTAGATCTAAAATCATATTCTCCTCTCTTCTTTTTCTTTATTTCGTTTTTTGATAATATTTGACATTTCAACATCCTATTTTCCTGGAAAGTTCCTGTAGCTCTTACAATGTCCTTTTGCAGTTGATCCAATAGTGGGACCGTTGTTTGATGACGATACTTTTTAAAACTACGAAACGCACAGCACAACACACGCGCAATTCTAATAACTTATAAACCTTCAAGCACATCTTCTGCGATGCAATACCAAGCGCCATCTCATTTAAACAACCGAAACTATGAAAATAAAATGATTGTAGGTGGCTGTAACAAGTGTCCTTATTTAAGAACAATCGGTATATCTGGGTTAAAAACAGTTTCTTGCAATCTAACTCCCCAATACATAAACTTTTCAGAGACTTCACTCGTCCTAGGGCCCACAAGTATTAGTTATTCTTCAATTTCGAGCCTAAATACACAACTACGTAATAATTGAACTTTGCTGGAAACTATATGGCTTTGGGGTGGATGAGATGTACGCCGTCTTATACAAAGCTGATTTGAAATGACGGTACATCTGTTTCGTACATTTGAGTTCGACGAAACTTAGACCAAACAATTTCTGCAATGTAGCCTATAGCGCCATTCACCAATCCTTTAGATACGTCAATATTGAACCACAACATGTTGAGCTAGTGGTGAAATAATATTCGCCATTTTGTAGCTGCGGCAATCTTGAATTTGCATCTCTCCCAAAGTGTACTACTATACTACTAGTTGAGCCCTGTAATTTAATACCCATATTGGGGTACTTGTGCACGAAAGTGCAGACTTCATTGAATTGTATTGTCATCAAAACCATGTACCAAATATCAGATCAATCTGTCAAGAGGAGGGATGTCAAACTTCAATTACTGAAAATGACCCAAATATAAAGGAAAAGCTAAATAAAACATATAGGTAAACTTTTTTTGTCGCTAATATATTGTTACATTTTTCCCCGTGGGAAATATCATACATATCGTGTCTGAGCTAGAACCAAAAATTTATGGATTGACAGTTGCGATAAATTGACGTCTTGTTATTGCATAAACATGCTAAGTATTGACATCATGACCACAAAGCTCTAAAAACGTTCATTTTCAGGTTCAATATGATATCCATTATGTTAATTTTTCAACTGATCAAATATACCTCAATATGTGTACATTCAAATCATTAATTATTAAAATAGTTACTGTAGACATTTTCGAAATTTCATGTGATACTGTTATATTTATATGACTCAACATTTTTTTTGTTACAGAACGATCTTCACAGAGCGATGCAGAAGTCCCAATCTGCTCTTTCACAACAACTCACAATTCTGTCAGCGACTCTCGTATGTCTCGTATTCACCAGGTAATTTTCATTTGAGGAAGTCTTCAAACTGTTACTGCTGATCGTCATTATTTGCTTCAAATTACCCCAAGTTGGAAATCAGCTTTATGAATTCGTTTCGCTTTCAGTTATGAAAAACTATTTTTTTTCCCTGATAATGATACCACTATTATTCCAAAGCAAACATTCAATATATTATATACAGGGCTATTCAAATTCGTTTCTGTACATGGGGATCTCGTAAACGATGAGAGATAGAGTGTCGGTTGAATTATGGCAAAGTTGCGTATTTCAGAGATCTATTCAATGATGCAAAGAAATCGAATATAGCTCTTTTGGTTCTGGAGATATACAGGAAAAACCAAAAAATCCCAAATGATTTTTTTTGCCTATATCTTCTTTATTCGCAGACATATTGAAAATCTGTCCACATTTATAAGAAGACCACGTCGAAGCTCACTAGTATATCTCCAGGAAGTAGCTTCATGTTTTTAATCCTATGTCCATCCTACATCCATCAATTAATTCAAAACATCATGGATTGTTTAGAAGCATTCCACAATATTCAATATTTCAGAACACCCCGAGTATACGTTGTGGTAGCCTTGTATCCCTCCATGAATTTATGGAACAGTCCACAAGATTTGAGACCTTCAGAACACCCCGAACATTCCATAACTGAAATAAAAAAGTTTCAGAAGAATCAAGAACATCCAGTATTCAAGATATTTTTTTCACCATTTCGAAAAGATAATTCNTATATATATATTCCATCCGTCGTCAGAAAACTTCTTCATCCAGTCCCAAAGATGCAAAAGACAACAACGTTCCTCGCAAAGCTTTCCTTCCCTACATTAAAGGTGCTACTGACAAAACAATCAACAATCAAATTTCCACATTCCTTCGATCTCCCAAGGTGAAAATTATCAATGAATCCCAGGATATATAGGCTTTTCACGTTAAGATGTTTGACGTAATTTTTGGTAATTTTGTATATCCAACATAACAACGTTAAAATTCCCACTGAAATGCATTCAACAGCAATGAAACTAGTAACATTTCATTTTATAAGTTGCTGAACTGCTAGTAAAATTTCAGAGGTTGCCGAATCGATAAAAACTTGAAAACTGTCAGTCTTTCTTTTCTTTTCTTTTCAGAACAAAGCATTTCTTTTGATGAGACCTGCGAATATTCAATATGCCTAAAACATTGTCGAAATAGTCCCAACACATACTAAAAGTAAGTAAGGATAATAGCAATAAAACATATCAGCAGTACAAACAAATTTAAAAGTTTGAAATAGTGCACATGTTGGCAACGTCGTAACCTGTCATCTTGTGACGTCATTCTCTCCTTAACGTGAACAACCTATATATGAAATTTCATGTTCTGATTGCGAAGAAAATATGTAGGTCAGACCAACAGACGTGTGACAAGTAGAGTATATGAACATCAACTTGCTGTCCAAAAGTCAGACCCATCCTTAGCCCTATCAAAACATCATCAAGAGACAGGACACAACATAGACTTCGCGAACACTAAGACCATCGCCACAGCGATAACACTACAAGCTCGGATAATTCATGAGGCCATCGAAAAGCGACCTTTCTTCCTGAACAAACGTGATAACGGTCAAAGACTTCCAACTGCCTGGAAACCTCTAATTTACCGATGCTCATCCCCCACTGAGACGTCTGGTAATGGTAATAACCCGAGAGAGAACTCGCGACGAGACCTGGGAGTAGGCAGATTGAGGCCCCGGCGTCAAGTCACATCAAATTCTTGAAAATGGGAGGCGAAACGTCGAATACAAAACCCCAGACGTGGTTCACCCTGAACTCAAGGACAACATACTGCTGACCGTGGAAACCTATCCGACATATATATGACATGCTCAAGATTGCCCCTTTTCTCTCATGCATACCTACGACTTAGTAGGTACGTGTGGCAGACATTCAACGAAAAAACAACAACTAACCCAGCTAATGCCGCGCAACGAGACTTTATTTCTCAGAAACTCTCTTAAAGATATCATTTCTCCAAACCAATCTTTCGATATTTTTTTCTTTCAGGTAGGTCGAAATGATTTTTTGTGATATGATAATAATATTTCGGTCCTTGAAAGATTTGATTCAGCAGATACTCTTCGGAAATATCATGCAGACAAACTGATGAAAGAATTTTTAAAAAAAGTTCAATGNGTGGGCGTCTTGATGGGCAGAACCCATGTATCGAGGGGCAAATCTTTGAATCTGATTTTTGAAGTAGACTGTGTTAATTACTCTATCAGATGAATCTTCTGACCATAATTCCTTGATAACTTCTGCGAACGATTTGATTAAAACACCTTTCATACTAGAAATAGTAGTATTGATATCTTTCATGTATGCATCCTTTTTTAGGTATTCCAGCAACCATCCCGTGTTTGATAAACATTGGATTATACTGTTCATGAAACAGGTGTTCCCAAGATTTTTTAAACCATTGAACCCAAGAGTTTTGATTGAAGAATGTTTCACCGATCTATTGTTGCAACTACGTTTGTCACTACTATCTTCTTCTGAGTAAACACGGCTAGGATGATTCACCCCTTCATTGGACTGGTAGGATAAGGAGTTCGAAGCAAAACTGCTCAAAACTGAATTAGATATTAGTTCTTTCGAGGGCTCAGCCAGAGGTCCAAACTCAGCCTCATTTAGAGTTCCCACTTCCTTTTCTGTCAAAGCTTGACGGTTTTGCTGCGAGTCTTCCACCAAACTGCACAACTCCAGTTCTTGCACTGTCTGTACATGCCGATATATTTTGTTCATGGGAAACATTGATAATTCACTTAGGGTTTTTGATTGAGGAATTGTACCTGAAGATGAAGCTGTATTTCCTCTTTGAATCAGAATGCTAATTTTTTGAATCAAGAAACAGGTAACTCCTGGGTCATTCGTTTCTTTGGATATCCTAATGCCGATTTCACGAATGAACTCCAATGCTTGGGGGCCTAAGTTACTTTTTCAAGTAACTTTTTGTTAAATTCGATCTAGAAATGTACTTTTTCAATTTTTTCCAAAAAAAAAAGTTGAATTTGACATACACTGAACGTCAGTGGGCCGCAGTTGGCCACATCATTTCAAGTTAAATTTAAAGCACAAACAAGTGCCGAAGTTAAACTCCATTAAAACTTTTCGAAAAAAAAGTTTCCCATATGGTGCGCACTTTAATGGTGACACTGTATGTCATTCTATAGTTGTTGATTTCTTCTTTCCAAATCTATGTTGTTTTGTTCGAAGTCATTACTTTAGAGATACTTTTCTCTCAATATTAATTTTTCAATCGCATGAGAACCTAATGTTTTGCTGAAATCACGATTTTTCAATATTGACGTGATGTTTCAATTGATATTCAAATTTATGGAACGAATAAAAATCGAACATTCATCAGCTCATCACAATAAATTAGGGAAAACCGCACTCAAATCGAATAACCAGTTTTTTGAAATGAGAGTGCACAAACGCAAACAAGCAGACAGCAATCAGTAACAATTTTATCATATGAACTGATATTGATTAAAATTGGTAGCTAACGTAACAATGAAAGAAAATAATATTTTCACATGAATTCATGTATATTCCTTTGAAATACTTAGAAAAAACAGCGAATGTAGCTGGGGCTTGTTGACTACGTTACAAGCATTTTTCCTTGAACTTCAATATGATGATGTCTAGTCGGTGCTTTCACCCCATTTCCATTTGCTTTTAATTAAATTCCATCAGAAAGAGAGAATCTCTAGAAACACATTCATATTCATAAAATGAGATAACGAGAGAAAAAGACTGGGATATGACGACATAATTGTATTCCATTTCGAAGTTCTGGCATATAGCCAATTAAACGAAGTGCTTGGACAGACAGTCCTTGAAAGNGAAAATTTCCACAATATAGATTTCATTTTCAACACCCCAATAGTAGTTTCTTCAGTTGGACTGGTTAAACTGTAGAAGAGAAAAGTTGGACACATGCTCAAAAATTATTGAAGATGAAAATATGCGTAGGAGTAGGAGCCATAATTTCAGAAATCGCCTCTCAAGAAAACTGATGATGTGGAAAAAATAATGATACTCAAATTCAAACGCTCAAGAACTTTAGAAACTTTCGAACTTTGGCAATTGATAACGGCCATCTTGTTTTACCAAATCACCATGGACGGATATAGCATATATCAGCACCTGCAAATGATAAAACTGTTATATAAAAATGGGTGTTCTGTTCGGAAAAAGTACCGCGCGCTTCGCCCAATTTATGGTCACCATAATCGTCCTACAGAAAGGACTGTTCGCAATGTGGTGGATGAATTTAAGTCCACTGGTTCAGTAAACGATCTACCAACACATGTACGTCGACAAAACGCAAGATCTGCCGAAAACATCGCCGCTGTTTGTGAGAGAGTGCAGGAGAATCTGAGGCAGTCAATTTCGCATTGCTCACAAGAACTCGGCCTCTCACAGCCTACAACTAGGAGAATTTTGCGTCTTGACTTGGACCTGCTGCCATACGAAATCTTACCCTCTATTCAGTCGGGTTTCCGAAAGGGACATAGTTGCACGACGGCTCTTCTACAAGTCACTGATGATATTATTGTATCACTTGATAAAAATAAATATACGGTATTGGTAATGCTTGACTTCAGTAAAGCGTTCGATATGGTTAGGCATGATACTTTACTGAAGATCTTGAAAACAAGTTGAGTCTGTACGGAATCGCTGCAGCTTTGTCAATCATATCTCAACAATCGTACAGAAAGCGTTAAATTGGGAAATCAATTTTATCTGCAGCTGTAAATGTCATCTTGGAGTTACCTCAGGACACAGTTCTAGGACCACTTTTTTTAAACTTTATACTAGCCAAATCCATAAACATCTTGAACATTGTAAAATACACATGTAAGTAACTTTT